TTTTTTATTAGATTTTCGTGAGCGTCAATGAGCCAATGAGAACACTACAATGCCTTACTTTAAGTACTTTAAGTTTAAAATAAGAGTTGCATTAGAATAGTATCTTGTACCCATATAAGTTGTATCTAGAAATTTTGTATTAAATATACTACGGTTTTTTTTTTATTGCTTAGATGAGTGGACGAGCTCACAGCCCACCTGGTGTTAAGTGTTTACTGGAGCCCATGGACATTTACAACGTAAATGCGCCACGCATCTTGAGCTACAAGTTCTAAGGTCTCAGTACAGTTACAACAACGGCAGAGCAAAAGTATAAAAAAAGAGATAGATACCTTTTTTTTATTATCAAACCTGAACGCGCTGAAAGACGGTAATTAAAACAGTCGTTTACCTGATTCAATTTAAAAGTTATCTCTCAACTAATTGACCGGCATTTACGTTCATCGTTTACTATATCGTCGCCATATTAGCCAGACCATTATGATGTTTTCATGATGATTACGTGGCCATTACCGAGCGAAACTACATAATTTTGCAGGAAACCAAGAAAATGTAAGTTATGTAATGCTTAGACTACAAGACTAAGTTAATTTTTTTATTGCCCTTGTAGGCAGACGAACATACGGCCCACCTGATGGTGATTGGTTACCGTCGCCCATGGACTTCAGCAATGCCAGGGGCAGAGCCAAGCCGCTGCCTACCGCTTAATACTCTCTCCACAAGCCTCGTTTGAAGAAGGATATGTCATAGCGCTCGGAAAACACCGTGGATGGGAGCTCATCCAAAAGCCGGATGGTACGTGGCAAAAAAGACCTCTGGACTGTGGATGACCGCAGTGGCTCCAGGTAGTGAAATAGTTTTTTAAATTTTTTTGAAAAACAATTGAATGTTTGTGCTCAAAAAAAAACGATTATTAAGTCCTGTTATTATTGTGACGCTATAAGATATAGTCATTTAGCGAGAATGTTCCGAACTGCAGTATGCACATAGAAGCTACGTTTTTGTTAAGCATAAAAATTCATAAGTCGCTTTTATATACACCGACACGCCAAATTATCTTACCACATAATGCTACACAGAAGGCTTCTGCATCGATTCATGACACCACGATTATTGTTCATAACAGATGCTAGTCTGGACGAATTGTATTCGACGTCTCGCGATTTCCTTCCTATATTTTTATTTATTTATTTTTATTGCTTAGATGGGTGGACGAGCTCACAGCCCACCTGCTGTTAAGCGGCTACTGAAGCCCATAGACATGTACGACGTATATACGCCACCCACCTTGAGATATGAGTTCTAAGGTCTCAGTTTTTACAGTACAACGGATGCCCCATCGTTCAAACCGAAACGCATTACTGCTTCACGGCAGAAATAGGCAGGGTGGTGGTACCTACCCGTGCGGACTCACAAGATGTCCTACCACCATGTGCTTAGTGCGAGTTCTTTAACGTTCTCTCGTTAAGTTCTCGATAGCGTAAAAGTTAGCTCATATATTTGTATTTGGAATGGGATCGTTTGCCTAAGTTTGCCGCTAGGGGCGCTGTTCCAACTGCACACAAATTTGAGTTAACTTTTACGCTATCGAGAACGTTAAACAACTCGCACTGAGCACACTAGTCCGTATTACAATGCCGATATGTAGCGACGCGAACGACGCGACGTTACGTAATGATGCAGCATTTTAATAATTTCATGCAATACAGATGAATATGTCAGTTGACCTTGACAGTGGCTGCGGCTCGGCTTCGTAATATAGAATAACATTTCGTTTGTTTTTGTGTACGAATAAAAAAAACTGGAAGTGCTTATTGAATGTTTAAAAATGGACTTGCATAACCATGGTCATTGCAATTATTATTTTTTCGTTGAATGTTTGTTTTAATAATAATAAAAATTTGCATTTTTTTTCGATTTACGCGAGTCCACGCTAACGACAGACAGACAGACAGATAACAGACGTGACAATGGTCGAATATTTGTATTATCTTTTCTCGAACTCTAGTCATTGCTAGCATAGTCTCCTCTATTGAAAAAACACAATGGGTTTCGGAGAAGATAAATCACTTTCACAAAAAACTTCACAAAGCTTATGCGGTAGTACACTTAGTCACTGCGTTTGCGATGCAAACTCGAATTCAATTAAACTAGTGGCCCCGCAGTAGTCGAGATTCGACTATAATTAATTGAAATTATTGCTTATGCTTATGTTTACGAGAACCGTGATAGTCTGTAACGAATGTTCGCGCCTAAATATAGAACAATAGAAAAACAATAGAAGAGAAAAAAACGCTGACATTTACAGTAACTGAGTTCTGAAATGCGAACAAGATAATCGTATTGTTAAAACAACAACAACAACAACAACAACAAAAAAAAAAGTTTGTCTAAAATTGCTAAAGCATTTTAATGTGGCGCGAATTGAAAACATCTTAAATGCATACATACGAGTGGGAAATACCTTTTAAAAAATATATATAGTAGATTCATATCCGTAAACTAAATTTTTTGTTCTACGCTATTTTTTTTTCATAATATTCGTAGAAACTTTGAGAATTCTAAAAATAATCTTTCGACTCACACATTCGCCTTACTCGAGTTCGTGAAAACGTAAATTTGAATTATTTATATACTGGCGGTAGGACGTGTCTACACGGGTATGTACCACACTCCGCCTATTTCTGCCGTGAAGCAGTAATGCGTTTCGGTTTTAAGGGTGGGGCAGCCGTGGTAACCATACTAAAACCTTAGAACTCATGTCCCAATGTGGCAATGGTGAATGGCGGCATTTACGTTGTAGATGTCTATAGGGCTCCGGTAACCACTTAGCACCAGGTGGGCTGTGAGCTCGTCCACCCTTCTAAGCAATAAAATCAATAAATAAATAAAACTTTTTTCGACGACATATCCGTACGTTGTGTCAAGGTGAAGGTGGAATTAATAAAACGTTTTAGTGTATAAACGCATTAAGCGGAGGCGTATTAAGCGTTCTAATTGATATTTTGCAATAATATGCCGTTTAAGGTAATTAAACAATTCACGACACCCACAGAGCGAGTCGCGTTAATATCGTTCTAGATTTGTCGAACAGTCGCTTGTCTTGAGCAATTTATTGCAATACTTTGAAGGGTGTCTTTGAAAATTTACGTTATAAAATAAGTAAATTACGTTTTATCTCGTGAAAGCGATTTGTAAACAAAAGCTTACATTCTCTTCTTCTTAATTATCTAAGAATTGTCTTAAGATATATAAAGTGCGCTTGGTGCGGGCACTGATCTTTCCCATATTCCGCTACGGGGCGGAGACATGGTGCATTAAAAGCCAGGATATCAAAAAGATCGATGCCTTTGAAATGTGGGTTTGGCGAAGGATGCTACGAATACCGTGGACTGCCATGAGAACCAACGAATCCATTCTAAGGAAGCTAAACATCCGAAAAAGGCTCTCTTCCATCTGCCGGGAACGTGTCAAGAGCTTCTTCGAACACATCGTGCGGTCTCCCAGACATGAATTAGAGAAGCTCATAATTACGGGTCGCATAGAGGGCAAGCGCGTCGTGGGCAGAACTACAGCCAAATGGTCAGATCTAGCAAGAGAAGCACTTGGTGGTAGTCTGTACCATGCAGTCCTTGCCAACCATGATCGAACACTGTTGAGGAACGTCACATGTGGTCGCGATCCTCAGTAGTGAGGGAACGATATAGAAGAAGAATACTCACAGAACAGATCGACTGCACCGGGCATCTTAGCAATTAAACATTTACTTGAATCGTATCGAGGGGTGAAAAGTTATTTCGTTATAAGCAACATTTCGTTTAATATGCGACATTTATCTTTGTAATTAAACCCCGATCCTGCGGACAGAATGGGAACCAGTCGACGTCGCCCATAACACGTCATTTCGGATCCTCCCGATCCACTAATGGTGCTTTTAGGTACCTCAAGCACCGGTCATCGTTCTCGTCGAACCCGTCGCTTGCGACGAAGGGCTCGACGAGTAAATTAACCCATAGACACAGCCCACTGAATTTCTCGCCGGATCTTCTCAGTGGGTCGCGTTTCCGATCCGGTGGTAGATTCTGCGAAGCACGGCTCTTGCTAGGGTTCGTGTTAGCAACGTCGCCAGACTTGAGCCCCGTGAGCTCACCTACTAGTTAAGGTTACGCTTAAATAGCCTCTCAAGGCTCTCAGCTTAAGTAGGACAAAAAAAAAGTAATTAAAGGTCCGTTTTATTTCGTATTAGTATCAACAATTCGATGTTTTTAATTGATCTTCAATTAAGTTTATCCCATTGAAATAGCTGAAGAAGTTTTTTTTTGTTATGATATTTTTACCAAATATTAAAATTTAAATAATGCTCTCTTGTAATTTTGCAAAAATGTCACTTAAACAAAATACCTACCCTTTTATCCCTCGGTATGTAGATAACTTATAATACTCTAAAAGTCATTGAGTACGTTAGATTGGGGGGAATAGAGAATAGAGTTAGAATAGGGACAAATCAGGGATGTCACAATACTTTGGAGTTGTTAGATTTAACTTTGTTGAACTGAAAATGATTTTATTTAGTGTTTAACATTTAGATTAAATAGTTTATTTTAGTCATCAAAGTTTTGTAACCCATTAAAGATATTAAAAAGTTCATTACCTAAAGTTAGGTACGTACCTAACAACTAAATAGTGTCAGTCCTATTGAAAAACTCTGTTGTCTCCATACGTCACCTGATTCACCCCAAAGCCAATGTCAATCGGATCAAGTTAGTTTTTTTCAGTTTTTGTAATGAACTATGTATAATAACGCATCATATATAAAAATTTAAGCCTGCGGAACCATTTTAATCTCAATTTTATTGGTATTAATTACCCTAAAAAAAACCATTGAAAATTTGTGTTGGATTTGGAAAGGGTCCCGATTTCCCCCAATCCACGGTACGTTACGCCATAATTGTCTAGAAACCACTTGTTTTAAGGCCGTCAGATGTACAAAATCGACATACCATATATAGGTCACCATATCGGCACACCTTCCAGAAACCTTTGATGTTCGCCAACATGTTGTGTGTCCGGTGCTCACTCCACGTGGCCGAGCCCGCAGCAGAAGCCGCTACACGAGCGCTTCGGACGCTCCTGAGGAGAAATTACATTTTTATTACTGGTGGTAGGATCTCTTGTGAGTCCGCACGGGTAGGTACTACCGCCCTGCCGATTGAAGGGTGAAGCAGCCGTTGTAACTATACCGAGACCTTAGAACTCATATCTCAAGGTGGGTGGCGGCATTTACGTTGTAGATGTCTATGGGCTCCAGTAACCAGTTAACACTGGGCTGTGAGCTCGTCCACCTATCGAAGCAATAAAAAAAAACACTTTAAAAATACACTTTTTTAATAAATTGAAACTTTAAATAAAGGTAGTAAGGGCGTCTTCTGAGCGATATAGGTAGATACCACCACCTCAACTATTTCAGCAGCTAAGCAGTAATGCGTTCCAGTACTGAGCCTTAAGAATTCATGTGTCAAGGTGGGTGACAGCATAATCGTTATTAATATCTATCGGCAACTACTTAACACCAGGGAGGTATTAGCTCGTTTAGCCGTCTAATAAATAAAAACAGTACCTCTAAGTCTAACATGGGACTTCACCATCACTGATATTTTTTGGAATTATTAGACTTAATGTAATAAATTAATCTGTTTTTTTTTAAATGTACTATACTATATGAGTATTCATGAACGCATCTGCTGCAACTGAAGTAAACTGGTATTGAAAATGCGTTGACCGATACAACACATACACACATTGTCCTGAAATAAGCCATGTACTAATTTCACATGCAATTAATTTCAAATTGTCAACAAACTATGTGGCCTTAAATGGTGATTAAGAACTGTGTAATAATAATTAGTTACACATTATTTTAAGGTTCTAAATATTGCTTTTGTTCGTAAGCATCGCGGTGCTGTGTCGCGCGATATATAGCGAGCATATATAGAAAAGTGTGAAGATAGCAGTAGGGACAGAAAAAAAAGAGAAAGTCATTGTAGTGTGGGCATGTTATGCGAAGAAAGGATGATCATGTGGCCAAATCTAAGGAGAGGGTATCCTAAAAAGACTTGCATGGATTATATGAAAGAAGATATATGCAAAAAAGGATGTGAGTACAGAGATCATGTGCAATTGGCCTGAATGGAAAAAGATGATATGCTGCGTCGTGATAAAGACAAGAATTAGAAGAAGAAGCCACAGAGATTAAATCTAGAAACGAAGGTACTATGGATGTACGCAGTGATTCCAATTAGTAAGGTCGACTGGTCTGATAACAACAGTGATGACGGGATCTAGAACAATTCCTTAGAGCACTTCTCCTGGAATAATCGCAACAAAAAATTGATGTGACTATATAGTCTGTAGACCCAGAGAAGGGAGAATAATAAAAACACAATTACAAGGCATGTCTATTAAAATAACTTAGATTCTCTACGTGTCTGACACACAGGAAGAGATGCGAAAGCTCATTGTGTTTCTCACGTTTGGCTGGTTAAGAATTTTGGCGATAATGACACGGACCGTGTACAAACCAAACAGCTAAATCTAACATTTTTGTTGTGCGAATGTAAGTTTTTTGAGGACCAAGATAAATTTACAACATTATTACTATTAATTAGGAATTTAAACTATAGCCTCAATTATTTTTTGTATGCCTGAACATTTCCAATTAACATTTAAAACCGACTGGTCCGATTATTCCGCATATAAATAAGATTTTAATTATACGGATTGTTTTTTGCTGATTGACACCCGGGCATGATTTCTCACTACCGGAATATCCATGCGGCGCGGTCATCTGCGAATTTTAAGCGTGTGTTTTAGATAATAGCACGGACGATTTATCTATAGGCTGCAATTGTTCCGTCGCAGGTCACCAATTTGGAGCTGGTTAACGACAAAGGGAAGATCTTCCACCGAGCGGGTGATATTGCTCGGTAGACCGACGGTCCGAATGTTGTTGTTCGGAACTTGTATACATGCGCTTTATCTTGAAAATATCGTTAGCGAGATTCAGGCATCTGTCAGTTATCTTGCGTTGTATGATAGCTACCCGCCACAGGTATCATCTTTAGACCGCTAGTCTAGTCGACAAGTTAAAAATGGTGTTAATTCGACATACTACTGCTAAAATTATGTGGTTTAGCTCATTCGATTCGGAATAATGTCTAGACCATTGTGCTAAAAAATTGAATTAGCACATAAAAAATTCCAAAAGTTATTAACAATTAAACACCTTCAAAAAATAGCGTTTCGTTTATGGCTTATTGTCCGTAAACTATAAATATTTTCGAAATTTGAAAAAAAGATCCTTAAAGAGGAGGAAATTTAGTAAAAAAAAGTTCCAACTCCCGGAACTGTAGCTCCATTATTTATAATTTTAATTTAACGCTGAAAATAGCCCGCCGCGCGCCATTGTTAGGTTGCGCGCACGGCCTCGAAAGCGAGTACGTCACTTAAAAAATTTTTTTTCAAGTACTTAAAGTTAATTGAAAAATCTAAAAAAATTATTGCATAATCTAAACACTTTAGAAAATTTATTCCCGTTGGAATTTTTTATAAAAACATATTTTTCAATATTCTAGACGATTGTTAATTAAGAAAAAAAATTCCAATTTCCATCATCCTTCTAAACTAAAAAAAATGTTTAAATAATTACCTTAAAATTATTTCGCTTCGTGGACCTCTTCTTATAAATATATTAAACAAGATTGCGTCGTCTAAGTTATGAAATTGTTAATATTTTGTTAATAATAATTTTTTTAAGTTAACAAAAAAGAAAAAGAACAATTATGTTGTAAAGATTTTTTTTTTCTTTATTTATTATTATATTTTCGTTTTTATGTCAATAAAAGACATCTTTTAATTGAAAAAAATATTTTTTTTATCCATTTGTTTATAAACATTTTGTTAACAAATGGACTATTTATATATTTTTGAAAAATTTTTTTTTACAATTTTATAGAGAACTGTCAATTATGATTTTTAGAAAAAAAATATTTTTTTCAATTAAAAGATGTCTTTTATTGACATAAAAACGAAAATATAATAATAAATAACGAAAAAAATTTTCTTTACAACATAATTGTGCTTTTTCTTTTTTGTTAACTTAAAAAAATTATTATTAACAAAATATTAACAATTTCATAACTTAGACGACGCAATCTTGTTTAATATATTTATAAGAAGAGGTCCACGAAGCGAAATAATTTTAAGGTAATTATTTAAACATTTTTTTTAGTTTAGAAGGATGATGGAAATTGGAAATTTTTTTCTTAATTAACAATCGTCTAGAATATTGAAAAATATGTTTTTATAAAAAATTCCAACGGGAATAAATTTTCTAAAGTGTTTAGATTATGCAATAATTTTTTTAGATTTTTCAATTAACTTTAAGTACTTGAAAAAAAATTTTTTAAGTGACGTACTCGCTTTCGAGGCCGTGCGCGCAACCTAACAATGGCGCGCGGCGGGCTATTTTCAGCGTTAAATTAAAATTATAAATAATGGAGCTACAGTTCCGGGAGTTGGAACTTTTTTTTACTAAATTTCCTCCTCTTTAAGGATCTTTTTTTCAAATTTCGAAAATATTTATAGTTTACGGACAATAAGCCATAAACGAAACGCTATTTTTTGAAGGTGTTTAATTGTTAATAACTTTTGGAATTTTTTATGTGCTAATTCAATTTTTTAGCACAATGGTCTAGACATTATTCCGAATCGAATGAGCTAAACCACATAATTTTAGCAGTAGTATGTCGAATTAACACCATTTTTAACTTGTCGACTAGACTACGCGTAGAACGTAAATTACTTCCACGATAGTAAAAAAGTAAATACAAAAACATCATATATCCATTCCACTTATTGAAAAAGATACGAACGTACTACCTAAGAACTCAATGTGATCATTCAAGTTGCCATGGAAAAGGAATATTCTCATTTTTTATTAAACAATTAGACCTTCACACGTTTGAAAGTAAATCGAACAATTATTCATATGATTAAACAACTTTTAATGTATTCTTCGACATGATTACATTAGACAAATGTCATTTGATCCAGTTTGCCGAATATGAACGTGTTAAAGGGTCCAAAATGTCTGTGTCTGTCACACATTACGGAAATATGGAGTTAATCGCTTAAATATTTTTGTTTAGTTTGTTACGATTGTGATAAAATGAAAACCGTTGAAGTTTTATTCTTTGAAAACTACTAACTTATTGTGTTAAAAATATTATAGAGTTGTTTATATTTATAGCTTGAGAGGTTAACTACTGATGGTAGGACCTCTTGTGAGTCCGCGCAGTTGGGTACCACCGCCCTGCCTATTTCTGCCGTGAAGCAGTAATGCGTTTCGGTTTGAAGGGTGGAGCAGCCGTTGTAACTATACTTAGACCTTTAGAACTAAGACTTATATCTCAAGGTGAGTGGCTCAATTTACGTTGTAGATGTCTATGGGCTCCAGTAACCACTTAACACCACGTGGGCTGTGAGCTCGTCCACCTAACTGAGCTATAAAAAAATAAAAAATTAATGACATTAAAACGTTTCAATAAATCTAAGAAGATTTTAATTTGGACTAGAACTTGCGCGCGACTGCGTTGAGTTTAGTTGTCAAGTAAACCGCAACATCACATAGAGAGCCGGTCACCGTCCTCGTCGAACCCGTCGCTTGCGACGAAGGGCTCGACGAGCGAATTAACCCATAGACACAGCCCACTGAGTTTCTCGCCGGATCTTCTCAGTGGGTCGCGTTTCCGACCCGCTGGTAGATTCTGCGAAGCACTGCTCTTGCTAGGGCCAGTGTTAGCAACTCTCCGGTTTGAGCCCCGCGAGCTCACCTACAAACGTTAGAGTGAAGCTGAAATAGCCTCTCAAGGCTATCAGCATAGGTAAGATAAAAAAAAACAAAGAGAATCTAGATGGAGAATTATCGGCCGTGTTCAGTGGTAGTTCATCGTCTCACTTATCTCACTTATTTACGTCACAAATCATATGCATTATGCGTATCGTAATCGGAATCATCGAAATCCATCATTTCAGTGATGTATCGATATCTTTTTCTTTCACTTCAGCACTTA